AATAATATAGAAATTTTTATGAACTTAAAAACATAATATAATTTATATTCCACAATTCTTATTTTTATCAACTATCAAAGTTGGTAAAAATAAGAATTGTAGAATCATGTCTCATACATTGATATAGCCTAGCGGTGGTGCTACCTTTTTAACATGCAAGATGTCTTGAGTTCAATCCCTAGTGTTGTGAGAATTGGAAGAATTAGTAAGGATTATATTGGTGGATGGTCATGGGCTCGTTGTGAGCCCATGTGGTTCAAGGTGGGTCAACAACCTTCAAGTTGGATCAACAATTTTTTGTTGCTAAAAAACCGTTGGTAATCTGTTGGGAAAATTCCGTTAGTAATTTGTTGGAAAAAAATATCTATTGGTAATCTGTTGGGAAAAGTATATCTGTTAGTAATCTGTTGGAAAAAAAATTCGTTGGTAATCCGTTGGAAAAATTCCCTTGGCAATCTGTTGGAAAAAAATTCCATTGGTAATTCGTTGGGGAAAATTTCGTTAGCAATCCGTTGGGAAAAATCTTTTGGTAACCTGTTGGTATATTTGTAACTAATATGTTGGCTTTCTGTTAGTAATTTGCTAACGGAATGACTTAGCAACTCCATTTTCTGTTGAAAATCCCTTGGCAATCTCATGAAGCATTTCTTTGCAAATTTGTTGGTAATCTGTTGGGAATTTTCCTAACGGATTGTATTTTATGTTGGCAAAAGTTAGTGACAAGCCATATAGCATCAAGAAAATCTGTTGATAAGCCGTTGGCATTTCGTTGGGAAAATTGATTACCAACGGATTATTCCGTTGGTAAAATTCATATTTCTTGTAGTGTTGCGATAAATTGTGAATCTTGCTTTTGTCTTAGTTTAAATTGCGTTCGTACTTAATCCAAACCCCCAAATTGCGAGTAGAGTGTTTAGGATCTTTATTCTCTTTTCTTGTATGTGTCAATCGTTGCTTGAATCCGTGTCTGAATAGCCTTCCTTTGAGAACGACCCGAGTCCGGGTAACTCGGTTACCAACTACCAAAAAATACTACAAACACGTGCCGTGCGATAAAAAATTCTTAATTGCATATGCAAAGGACGAGAGCGAGTTCAACTATCACCGGGTTCTACAGATGTTGAGATATCTGATAGGTCTGATGCACATCCTACACTGACAGAGGATTGGGTATAATGACTGTTATTCAAAAGATTTTTCCAAAATTTGCCCACTTACTTTGCAAGTAGCGCATCAACAAGGATGTGGAAGATACAACCTATCGACTCCTTGAAGAAAATAGAAAAACGCTCAGAATATCGCGCACGACATGTGGAAAAAAGTCGTCGAAGCAAAAACGGAGGATCAATACCACAGTACCGTAGGTAAAATGCATGGTCGGTAGAAAAGGTTTCAGAAAGTGTTACTATATGTGGAGCACACATGGTTAGTCCACAAGGAAAAGGTTGTCAAAGCTTGGACGAACATGGTAACACATTTTGGTAACACAACCTCGTGTAGGGTTGAGAGTGTCCACGATGTGTTAAAGCAGTGACTTAACACGCTGACCGGTTCACTCGATACAATGTGAGAGAAAGTTGATAAGGAGGTTGAATCTCAACTGACTCAAGTCAGGTATATTTCTTAAGCTACACATATTTTCTTTTCTTTACAAATTGTAGTTCTTCTTACCAACGTTGTGTCGAAAAATTGGGTAAAATACTTTTTCCTATCCGAACTATCACGGTTTTGGCGCATCACGGTATAAACTATTTTTTTTTACAAACCACCATATGAACTATACAAGTTTGTCAATGTGCCCCCTAAACCAGATATAAAAGTGGTTTTGAGTGAAAAAGCTGTTTGATCACCATATGTGCCCCCTAAATACTTTTACAAACCACCATATGAACTATCACAGGTTTGTCAATATGCCCCCTAAACCACTTTTATATCCGGTTTAGGGGGCATATTGACAAACCCGTATAGTTCATATGGTGGTTTGTAAAAAAAAAATTAGTTTATATGGTGATACGCCAAAACCGTAATATTTCGGATGGGAAAAAGTATTTTACCCCGAAAAATTACACCTTGAAGTTGCCCACTTTAACAGTAAAGTTATGAGGTTTACACTTTCACAAAGTCTTGTATTCGGTTGTTTTATCATTAGGCATACTTTTTCATAACGCATGCATACTTATTCTCTATGAAGCACGGACACTCCTCCAGGATTGCCGTATCGGTGTCGGTGCAGTGTCGGACGCGGACACGCCGGGGACACGCACGGACACGGCAATTTTATATGGACACGGCGGGATACGGCGAAGACACTCCGGGATACGGCGAAGACACTCCGGGGACACGCCAACTCTTCATTGCCCTTAATTTTTTATTTTTTTTTTATTTTTTTGGGGATAACAATCTTATTTATTGGTTATTTAATAGATTTTTAAACTTCTCTGACTCAATTAATAATTACTTGAGATGCTTTTCTATTAACTTCACTTAACCCACACAACTCACAAGAAAAAGAACGTTCAGTCTTTTACTCTTCTTTTCTCTCTAAAGTCTTTTAACTTATGTTTACATTGGTTTTCAATATATTTATGAGACTTGGTATTATTTTAATGTTGAACTCTATTTTTATATGATTAACTTACTTCTATTTGAATAGAAAGTACTAATATTTACAATTAAAATGAAATTTTTACATATAAAAAATAAAAAAAAAAAATATTTTTTATTGTCGTATCCCGCCGTACCCGTATCCTAGTTTTTTAGAAAATTGACGTATCCGTGTCCCGCCGTACCCGTGTCGCCGTACCCGTGTCCGTGTCTGTGCTTCTTAGCTTATTCTATAAAATATCACTCTTTTATTGTGAAAATATGTACTTTGTTGGGAAGAATATGATTGCATAACCATTAAGCTGCATTGTCGGGCTGATTGTTTGGGTCTGGCATTTTCGAGGTAGGATTGGTACTTGGTTTGTTGTGTTTGCTGAGTGGGGTTTGAGGGTTTTTTGCGTTGGCAATCCAGGTTGGCTCGGGAGGGATTCGGGACTTTGTGTCCCGTTTTAGCTAGGCTTGTGGCAGTGGCGATCGGGGTCTCAATTTTGGATCTCCCTTTAGCTGGCTTTGGTTCTTGGGTGCTCTTGGAAGCTTTTGGCCCGGGGAGGGATGTTTTTAGTTCTTCGTTTAGATGTCTTTGTTTTGTTTCTTTTAGTTCTCTTTGTGTGTTTTTTGGTGTTTTATCTTTTCAGTGTTTGTTCGTTTTATTTCGGAGATGAATACAGGCTAAGCATTGTGCAGTGGTTCTGTTTTTCATTCTCTTTTTTTTTCGGTTTTGGAGTTCTCTAGGCCGCCATGTTCGTGTCCTCTCAGTTTTCTATTCCAGTTTTTTAAGAGTGTTTTTGGTTTGGGCCGTTGGCCCCTGTCTCATTACCCTGTTGGGGCCTTAGATTACCCCGTTGGGGCCTTGTAATTTGTACCTTTTGCACTTTTGTGCTCTTTTATATTATCTCTATCGTTCCCGAAAAAAAAGAAGACAAAATTTTAAAAGAAAAAAAAAGACAATTTTGTAATTTAATTACTATTCTGGACTTTTGCAATTATTTTCACTAATTTATAACGAATAGAATGGGAAGGGACGAGTTCCTTTCGATGTAGAGAAAGGTAACCCAATAAAAAGAAGAAAAAAAAAAAGAGGTCCAACTCACCCTCTATTTCTCAAGTACTCTGTTCGATAAAGATGCTCTCAGCCTCTTTGAACTTCCCTCATCGACACACTCTCTATATGAGTTTGAGTTTCTTTCATTCATTTATCAATATTAACGAGCAGTCTCAACGACCCGAATTATATAAAACTTATAACATACATACATTTTCAAACTTTAACAAGTCAAATGAAACTTAGTATGCTAACTAAACTAGCTTTAATCTAGTTTGGGCAACTTCAGCCCTTAATTCGTCTAAAAGCTCTAGGATAAGTGAAAACACACCCTAGTAAAATTTCAAACAATGTCTATTTGGTCTATTTTCTTTTGTGAGGCCAACCAACTTTTTTCCTTTGAACATAGAGAAAAAGAAAAAAAAAAAGTTGTCCGGTAAATTTCAATATTTTAAATATCGTACTGTATTGTATCTGTCGGTAATACCAGATATCGGCCATTGGTACAATACAATTACACTCAAAATAACGGATTTACGGCTATACCGATTTGTACCGGGATCGTACCGTAAAAACCGCAAAATACCGGTCCAAAATACCGGTCAATAAAAAGAAATTATTTAAAAAAAAGTTTAAATTGGTAGTTAAAATGTTTTATTATTATCTCATTGAAAAGTTGAAATTAATGATTATGGTCATTTATTTATTTTTATTTTTTGCATTTTGTATATATTTTTATATATATTTATATATATCATTATATTTGCTAATTTGGTAATATCACCGATATTATCCGTCCAACCGCGTACCAGTGGCTAGAACGATATGTTCAGGGACGGGTACGGTATTTAAAACACCTGTAAATTCTGTTACTGCTTGTCCCTACTCGTTAACTCCGCAAAATTTGCCCCTAATCTTGAGCTTCTCGTCCTTTCCTTGAGCACTGTTCAATATTTCTTGCACCTTAATAATAAGAATGAATATAAAAACTCACTCCTCGTTGAACTCCCAACACTGCTTAACATCACCCCAACTCCAAAAAAACCCACCTCCATCTCAACCCAAGAATCATAATCCCATCGAAAGCATAACCCATAATGGGTTCTTGAAAATTTCACCAAAGATTCAATTTTTGTTTTTTTTGGTATTGTTTTTTCTTACTTTTTTACCTTCTTTTTCAATTTTTGGTCCTTTTTCTTCTCTCTTTCTCAAAAGGGTGCATAAAAATCTCGTGTTTGCTGAAATACAGCCCCAGGAAGTTCACTGGTGAGTGAAAGAAAGTACACCAGAAAACAAACTGAGGATTTTTTTTATTTTATTTTTTATTTTTTTGGGCTATTTATTGTTCTAAAAAATGAGAGACTTTCCATCTTGCTTTGGGGAGAATGGAGTTCAAGTTGCTGATCCATCTTGTTCGAGTGTAAATGTAAGTAAAGCCTCTCAGAAAACTGTGACCTGCATTTATAGATGTGAACTGTTTGAAAAACCTTGCTTGATTAGCCTTGTGTGGAGCAAGGGTTTGTTGGCCCAATGCCTTAATGTCGAAATAGATGATGATTCTCATAAGTTCATCAGCAAATTCGACGTGAGGCCCTCTTTATTCTCCAAGAGGAAAGGTTCAAAGTCTTTACAGCTGAATTCTGGTAAAGTCGAGATCTTTTGGGACCTCTCGGTGGCGAAATTTGGATCCGGGCCGGAGCCCGTAAGTTCGTATTACCTAGGGATAGTGTGTATGGGTGAGATGGTTTTACTAGTTGGGGATTTAATTGATGAGGCATTTAAGAAAATGGGCTCCACCGCTCGGCTCTCGGGCTCCATCTTTGTTTCGAAGAGGGAGCACGTCTGTGGAAAGTCGATTTTCTGCACAAAGGCTCAATTTTGCGACAACGGGAAGATTCACGACTTGAAAATCGAATGCAATACAAATTATGGGGATGACCCGTTTCTTGTGGTTCGAATAGACTCAAAAACGGTTTTGCAAGTCAAGCATTTGAAGTGGAAATTTCGTGGGAATTTGACGATCGTGGTTGACGGGATGCCGGTGGAGGTATTTTGGGACGTGCACAATTGGCTGTTTAGTCCAAGTTCAGGGAAAGCGGTTTTCTTGTTCCAGACGAGTTTACCCGCAGAAAAAATGTGGGCAGGTACTTGGTCTTGTGACTCGTTGTTTGTGTGCTCGGAGGAATTCAGGGGTGCTAAATTGCCAACTCATGGATTTTCCTTGTTTTTGTATGCTTGGAAGAATGAATAGAGATACATATTCGGTTCTTGATTTGATTTGATTTACTGACGATAGTATTTTGTTTGATATTCTTTGAATATTCGACCGATTTTTGTTCATTGAGATGATGTTTACTTAGCCTTATTTAGAATTGCTTGTATGATCTGCGAAGTTCAATTATGAAGTTATCGGATCAGGAAGTTAACCTTTCCTCAGCTTTCTTGGACAAATCGTCCATAGTTTAAGTCGGGTTAATTACAACATAAACTGTGTTGAGGCTTAGTTTAATCACAGAATATCCCCCAATTTTACGTCGAAATTGCGACATACACCTTCGATATTTTCTTCCAGACATCGATGAGTTTGGCCTTTTTTTGCATCATGTGAACAACTGCTTGAAACTTCCAATGTAAGACTCTCATCAGTACTTGAAAGATTAGGTATGGTGAGCAGGAAAATATCCTTTCTATGCCTAATCACCTACTGTTTGCTCTGTCATTTTCTACCATAATATGTTTGGACAAATTTATCCTATTCAAGTTTCTTGTCTCTTCTATATATGGACCAGCATTTAGTTGAAAACTGGCATTTAGTGCATTTTTTTCCCTTTACATTTAGTTGAAACATCAAATTGACATACATGTATAATTTCAGTGTCATGCCATTTTCTAGTGCCTTTTTCCCTATGTATCAACTAAATATGGACAACGGGACAATTGCGAATACTTGTTATTTGTCTCCGTTAAATTTAGAACGTTCGGGTAAATGGGTGCCAAGAAAGAGAGGAAAGCAGAAGAGGGAAAAGTACACACCAGAGACTCTGGAAGTGAAAAAGTTTTTTTTTCAAAGTGAATATCAGACTGTTGGAAAATGACATGGTTTTTTAGCGAAGTACATTAGTATTAAGTTCTGGTTTCCTTGTTTCCTTTTCTTAACGAATATCATGTGTGGCAGATTGGTTATCATGCTTTTGTTTGGTATAGTATAACGTATCAAATGAAAGTTGAGAATATCATCAGTCAAGTTAATTTTGTGTTTGATCTTGATGAACTTGAATCAACTGATTGAACCCAAGTCAAATGAACAGCCCTTTCTTTTTCATAGAAGAAAATCCCCAATTTCCATCTAACCCTAAGTAAGCTTTCCCTGTGCCTTCCCAGCGGGACCCCTGGGCCATCGGTGGTTGTCACTGTGCCGTGCGGCTCGGTACCCGGAGAATCGTCGCCCAAGACCGAGTCTTTTTGCCGATGGAGTTTGGAGGGTCGTCTTTTGTGGGTCTCGCCGTCAACTTGGTCGTCGTGACGGGGTGGAGGCCCAACGGTTCCCCAAGTGTCTTGTCGTGGCAGTGGTGGGCTTCCGACGGTTCCGTGGTTGCTGGCTGCGGCTCCGATCACCCACTTGGTTGAGGTCGGGGTGGAGGTTTGGCGGTCTCTTCCCCCTCGTATCCTCTTCTCCCCTGGCGTTGGGCTAAGGAGATGGTCTGCGGGGTCGGATCATGGTCTGTGATTGTATTCTCTGGGCCTGGGTCGTCGGTGGTGGTGGTGGGGGTGGTTTGAATTGAGGACCTCCGATTGTGGGTCTGGGGTCGTCCGCTTGGGCGAGGGGTAGGGTCCTTGGATCTAGATAGACATTGTTCGACAATTTCTGGATTCGAAACTAGGGTCGTGGCTCTGTCTGTGTGGGTCTTCGGTCGCGGGTGTCGCCGTCGTGTTTAGCTCGGGGTGGCTTATCGGCTGAGGGAAGGGCCTTATACTAGTTCTAGTGTTTTTAGTGTTGTTATTAGTGTATGCAAATGGAGTTGGAAGAGTCATTGTTGACAATTCCCCTGGTATAATGCTAATAATGGACTAGATCAAAATGACTCAATTAATTTCTAGTGCTTCTATTAGTGAAGTTTCT